TGGGGTTGCCACACTCCAGGCTGGTGCTGGGGAATGTGTGCAAGGGATTCAGTGATGTGACCTGTCCTCTAGTCTCCCGGCAGCGGGTACCAGCACCAGCTCTGATGGGGGTGGGAAGGGAGTTACGTAGACTATGAGATTTCCTTGGTTATCTCAAGGAAATCTCCTTGAGATTTGTGTTGGCTTTCTCAAATGCCAGCTTGTGTTGGCTTTCTCAGATGCCAACTGTAGTAGTAATGTACTGGGCACGTGGACAGACTCAAGATCTTCTGGTTAGCCAGGGTGATACAGGCAATGACGATAGCTGAGGTCATGCAAAAAATTTCTCCTTTCTGAGGGTGGAGTTATTGTCCCTGCAGATGTTGTAATGGGCTGTGCTGGTTGGCCTCAAGAGGTGATGCTTGCAAAAGAACACCAACTATGGTGGTAGTGGTGGGATTTGTGCTTACCTTATGTTACCCAAGGTACTCTGGTGTCTCAGGTAATAGGTGGGGCTATGGGCTTCCCAAAGTCCCAGTCTGTTGTGTTATGCTACCAGGGCTAGTGAAGGGACAAAGCCAGATGGGGGCCGAGTCAGGCAAGTCTGCACCCTGGCTCTTGACATGTGGGCGCAAGCAGTGGCCCCAGTAGGGGTCAGAGGGCAGTTCCGTGGCTGTCAGGATAGTGTTACAGGGCAGATGGAGCACAGCTGCCTCTGATGCACAGAATAATCCGCATGGGGCATCGGGTGTAGCAAATGGCAGTAAGGCCCACCCAGCTCCCACGGACTTGGCAAGAAAGGTCTCACACACAGTGTTCTGCTAGCAGCAGCCAGTTGGGTTGCAGGCAGCCAGCAGTTAGAACTCAGAACTGCCCCAGGCTATAAGCCTTCCCAGCCAAGACAGAAACCACAGTTTTCAGGCCATATCCCTCCAGGTCTGCCTGCAAAGCAGGGACACCCAGCTCCTGCACCTGTGGCTATAGCACACTTCTCACTTGCCCCTCTGTTCTGGCCAAGGGGGTCCATCTGCACTCAAGATTATATCACGAGTCTCAGTTGGGAGCATCTCTCAACCTGTGACCTCTGCCTGAATTAGCTGGCAGTCTTCCCTGAGATAGGATCATGAATGGCTTCCCTCCGGGCCTGCTGGAGTCTGGGAATGGATGTAAAGCATGTCCTGATGCTGCTTCTCCTCATGTTCTCCCCACTGCTCATTAAGTCGGCTCCAGCACTGGGTAGCATTAAGGCATTCTCCTGTGGCCTGGATTGGGTTAAGGTATTTTATACCTCGGTAGGGTTAAGGCAGTTCCCACTGGCCTGACTCCCTAGTGGGAGTATGTGTCATGGAGGAAACCTGTCTCCCACTCAAGCGCTATAGACACAGTTTTCTACCTGCTTCATGGTGTAGGCTGCTGCCCACCACTTCTTTCAAAAGGCCTGCGGTTTCTTTCAGTTTTTCAGTTACGTTCCTGTGTTGCTTCTAGGAAAGAAGTTCACAACTTGAATTTCTACACATGATTTTATTTTTCCAAGTGGGAGGGGCATGTTAATCCCTTTAATCTACCATCTTGGAGAAAGAAAAAATGAATTGTTTTCTTAATAGCTTTTTTAGATAGTTTGTTGTTAGTGTATAGAAATGCTACTGATTTTTAGAGGTTAATCTTGTGTCCTGCAACTTTACTGAATTTGTTTACAACTTTACTGAATACTGTTCTGTTTTTGTTGAAGTCTTTAGGATTTTCTCTATATAAGAGCATGTCATTAGCAGAGACAGTTTGACTTCATTGTTTCCTATTTGGATGCCTTTTGTAGATAGTACCTGACTTAGAGAATGTTTTGGCTTACATTTTTTTGACTTTTTGATGGTGCAAAAGCAATACATATTCAGTAGCAACAGTACTTCAAGTACCTGTACGACCATTCTGGTTTTCACCTTCAATACAGTATTCAATAAATTACATGAGATATTCAACACTTTATTATAAAATAGATGCTTTTGCTCATGTGTGGCTTAATGTAAGTGTTCTGAACATGTTTAAGGTAGGTTAGGCTGAACTGTGATGTTCAGTAGGTTAAGTACAGTAAATGCATTTTTGGCTTATGGTATTTTCAGTTTATGATGGGTTTATTGGGACATAAGCCCATCATAAGTCAAGGAGCATCTCTAGTTCCTTCTCTTGCCTAATTGCTTTGGCTTGGCCATCCAGTACTATGTTGAATAGAAATGGTGAGAGTGGGCATCCTTGTCTCGTTCCTGGTCTTAAGAGGAAAAGCCTTTAACTTTTCACCATTGAGTATGGTGTTAGCTATAGACTTATTATATATGACCTTTACTGTGTTGAGTAATGTTCTTTCTATACCCTATTTGTTGAGCGTTTTTGTCATGAAAGGATATTGTATTTTGTCCAGTGCTTTTTAAAGTATCTTTGGGATGATCCTTCATTCTTTTTGTCTTTGATTCTTGTAATATGGTGAATCACATTTATTGATGCATGTCTATTGAATCAGCCTTACATCCCAGGGATAAATCCCACTTGATCGTGGTGCATGATCCTTTTACTGAACTGTTGAATATGATTTGCTAGTATTTTGTTGCGGGATGAGTATTTCTTTGTATCAGCAGGTCCTTGGCATCAGTAGCAGATATATTCTAGTGGTCATGATAGTAGCCAGCACTTACTGTGTGTTTCAGTTACCATGCTAAGTGCTTTACATGAAATATTTTATTGATGTTCTTAACAGACCTCTAAAGGTAGTATCATAATCCTCTTTTTATAGATGAGAAAACAAGCATAAAGTTCAAGTAATTTGCATGACATCACATAATACAACTTTCCCTTATCCTACCAGAAGGGAAGAATGAGAATTAGTGAACCAGTAGTTCAGACTGAGATGACTGAGTTGAGTTAAGGGAATATGAGATTTGTACCTTTCTAAAGTAATCTTATGTGTTAACTTAATTATAGCTTGGTTGGCTGGCACTAAAACTGAGGCATAAATAGAGTTGTTTTTAATAGCTCTTCTATTTCACCTTGCTCTCAGTGTGTACCTGGGACCTAAGTGCTGGATTCTAGCTTGTAGGGGTAGCTCTGGTCTTTTTCAATCAAGACCCCTATTCTCTGCCCAAAGGTTGATTAGATTATCTGATGAGAAAAATGCTAAGGGATTAAAGGATAGGTTAATTTCAGAAATGTGTCTTGGTGCAATTGCTCTCTCACTCATCTGGTATGATCTTTTAAAAATGCATGTACAGTCAGGATCATGTGTGGGACAAAGAGTTTTTGCCAGAGAGAGAATATATATGTAACTAGCGTCATAACCATAAATTATTTCTATTTGCCCCTCTTTAACATTTACTATTGAAGTTGAAGTTTTGAGGGCTCAATAAAGCAATAAAAAACATTTCTTAGGAGAGAGAGAGGAGTTATCACAATGTATATATTCAAAATTTCCAATAGCAGAAAACTTTATTGTTTTTGACACCCAGGTTAACTCTAAGCAGTACATATGAAGTATATTTAGGAGATCATTCAGTTGCTCTAGCAAAGGAAGAAAAATAAAACTATAACTGATGTACACTCACAGAAAGACAAATATTGCATATTCTCATTCATATGTGGTAGCTAAAAAAGTGGATTTCATGAAGATAGAAAATAGATTGGTGATTACCAGAGGCCAGGAAGGGTAGGGGGAAGGGAGATGAAGACAGGTTGATTAATGGATATGAGTATACACTTAGATAGAAGAAATAAGAACTGGCTGGGCGTGATGACTCACGCCTGTAATCCCAGTACTTTGGGAGGCTGAGGCAGGTGGATCACTTTAGGTCAGGAGTTCAAGACCAGCCTGGCCAACATGGTGAACCCTGTCTCTACTAAAAATACAAAAATGAGCCAGGCGTGGTGACACACACCTGTAATCTCAGCTACTTGGGAGGCTGAGGCAGGAGAATCACTTGAGCATGGGAGGTGGAGGTTGCAGTGAGCCAAGATTGCACCACTGCACTCCAGCCTGAGTAACAGAGCGAGACTCCATCCCAAAAAAGAAGAAGAAGAAGAAGTAAGACCTGATGTCTGATAAATCAGTAGGGTGGCTGTAGTTAACACTAATTGATTGTATATTTCAAAATAGCTAAGAAGAGAATAATTGGAATATTCCCAGTATAAACAAAAGATAAATAAAGTTTGAGGATATCAAATTTTTCATTTGATTATATGAATGGATTAAATTATCACATGTATCCTGAAAATATGTACATCTAATATGTATCAATAAAAAAAAAAGCAAAAGTTTAAAAAAATCTATAACTGGCTTAAACCAGAGAGATTTATTTCTCTGTCAGGTAGAAGCCCAAGCTGATTAGTGGGTCAGAGATATAAACAGCTCTGTTCGACAAGGTCATTCAGATGTTGAGGTTCCTTCTAATCCTGTTTTTCTGGTATTTTCCTAGGGTATTACCCTCAGCTATTTATGGTTAAGCAAGATCACCACCACCATATCTGTCTTAAATCTGCAATAAGAGAGGAAGAATGAATGGTCAGCAAGCAGGTTTCTTTCAAAGACATGACCCAGAAGTGGCACACATCACTCCTGCTCACATCCCATTGGTTACACTGTAGTCACATGGCCACAAGTAGCTCATGAATCTGGAAAGGTAGTCTGTGGCTGGGCAGACATGAGTAGATACTGTAAAGATCTATTACTGTAAAGGATGAGGGGAGAATGAATATTAGGGGATCATTAGCAGTTTTCACTACAGAAGTTTATTTATAATTTTTGTCAGCCTATCTCGCAGTCAATTAAAAGAGTTGTTAGAGAATAGCCATACCAAAGGACTTTGTAATATCAGGTCAGTAGCATACTAAAATATAGTAGAATAGATTTCACTAGTGATTTAAATTCATTTTCAGAAACAAAGCACAAAACTGAATGTTCGAGAATTTGATGAGATCCCTTCAAACTGTGTTAAAGTTGCTGGATATATGAGCTAATAATTATTTATTTTGTTCTTATATTTTAGGCCTCAACTCCATATAGCATAGATTCAGATTCTTTGGGAATGGAGTGTATTATTTCGGGAAGTGCCTCTCCAACTCTGGCAATCAACACTGTGACTAACAAAGTAATTTCATTTTTTTAAACATTATTGAAATGTCATTGAGTAGTACATTTAATTTGCCTTTGTAGTAATGATAGAATCCTGTATGGTTCAGTTTAAAGATTATATATATTTGTTTACCCTATACATGGTAGCTTGAAGGCTAAATTCAGAATGTTTTGAGGTATGCACAAATTAGAACAAAATACCTCTCAGGAGAAATTAGAAGGTGCTTATTGAGAAGTTCTATACTTGTTTAAAAATTCTTGGCTCTCTCAGTTCCCATTGGTAGAATTTGTGAGCCAGCATTTTATTGAATCAGTTTGTTTCAAAATCATTAATTACCTCTCCAAATATGCGGTTGAAAAAAAGATTGTCAAATTCTGATGAGTTAACAGTCAAGTAAAATAATAATTGGACAGCCTCATAGAGTTCACTGGGATGGTGGTCTACCTATTTTCATGATATTCAAGTCTAGGAATATAGCCAGGAACAGTATATGGTCGTTTGCTACATTTTGATGTTGAGTCACAACTTTGTGATGGGTCATTATATACCTAGTGGGATACAGGTATATATCTGTCTCTTCTTTATAAGATAGTTTCTTTTTTTTTTTCTGAGACGGAGTCTCGCTCTGCCGCCCAGGCTGGAGTGCAGTGGCCGGATCTCAGCTCACTGCAAGCTCCGCCTCCCGGGTTCACGCCGTTCTCCTGCCTCAGCCTCCCGAGTAGCTGGGACTACAGGCGCCCGCCACCTCGCCCGGCTAGTTTTCTGTATTTTTTAGTAGAGACAGGGTTTCACCGTGTCGGCCAGGATGGTCTCGATCTCCTGACCTCATGATCCGCCCGTCTCGGCCTCCCAAAGTGCTGGGATTACAGGCTTGAGCCACCGCGCCCGGCCATAAGACAGTTTCTTAACGTTACATCTCAAAACCCTAAAAAGGTTCTGGGAGGTTCATGAATCCAGTTTTGTTCATCTGTTTTCTTACCTACTAGACCATGAGTACTCCAGAGCCATACATCTCCCATACTTACGCTTAGATTCTCTTTCAGTCTTGTTTTCATTTTCTCCCTCTAGATTTCACCCTCTTTTTCTCTCTCCCTCTCTCTGACTTTCATTCTCTCACTTCACGCGCACACGTAAATGTGAACACATACACATACACCATTGCACTAACATGGCACTCCTAGGATCCTTTTACTTGTAGAAAGATAATGATTAAACAGACGACAGATTATAATCAGAGTGACATAATTCAAATTTCCAGTTCAGAAAGGAAACTGGCAGCCTAGGCATAGAGGAATGATTCTTCCCACGTGGCAATCTGAAATCATTACATCACAGTCACTTAGAGGATTTATGGGGCAGTTGGGGGTTGGAGGGTGGTGGGGGGTGGGTTGTGGTAGTGGTGGTAATCCCAGGATTCCATTGCAGTTCTACCAAATCAGTTATTGTGTCATGATGAGTAGGGCCCAGAAATATGTACTTTAAAAAATGATCTCTAATGGTGACCAGCTAGATAAGAATTTCTGGTGAAGTGGATGGGTTAGAATCAGAAATACCTAATACTGCTCTGTGCAGTAGTCTAAGTGGTGATGAGGACCTAAACATAGATGATAGTGTGGTTACTAGGAAACAGTTAGGAAGTAGTAATGGTGGGACTTTATGACCAAATAATGTGGATGTCAAAGGAACTGAAGGTTTTGGATTTCTGCATCCAGATATGACAGACTACTAGTATTAGATTATCCTTTCTGCCTATCTGTGTAAAATACCAGACAGACATAGCCACACACCCCTCCCTACCACCTCTTTGATTAAAAAAGAAGAAGAAGGAGGTATTGGAAACTAAGACAGCCAGGACTTCAGGGGTCAGGAGCCCAGAGAAGAGGTAAACACATTGAGATAAGCTTTGTACATTTTCCTTTGGTACATTTCCCAATTCTCAGTGCATGGCGTAGGGGGGCTACACAGGGAGCAGTAGCATAGAGCACTCATTAAACCAGGGAGACAAAAATTGGAGTTTGGAGTTACCGAACAGCCAGGGCTTGCAGAGCCGAGATCCTGAGGAATCTCGGGTGAATTCAACTTTTTTTTTTTTTGAGACAGGATCTCACTCTGTCGCCCAGACTGGAGTGCAGTGGTGCGATCTTGACTCACTGCAACCTCCGCCTCCCGGTTTCTAGCAATTCTTTGCCTCAGCCTCCCAAGTAGCTTTACAGGTGCCCACCTCTGCGCCTGACTAATTTTTGTATTTTCAGTAGAGATGGGGTTTCACCATGTTGGCCACGCTGGTCTCAAAACTCCTGACCTCGGGTAATCTGCCCGCCTTGGCCTCCCAAAGTGCTGGCATTACAGGTGTGAGCCACCGCACCCGGCTGAGTTCAACTTTTTGTAAGCAGTATCCACTTAAGGCATTTGCCAACTCCTAATTGTGTATGCTAGGGCTCAGACACAAAGTAGTTTTTCGCTAGCCAAAATTCAACACTCTCACAGAACAGGAGGGACAAATATTGTAGTTTATGGTCTTCAAAGGAGGAGAGAGCTATGGTAATACACCGTAGGCTTTCAACTTGATATCTGAGAAGAATTTTATTCTAAGAGTAAGTGCAAGCCAAGATAGATCAGCCTTAACAGTTACTAGAGTGGTATGCTAATATTCTTTCTGCCAAAAGAAAACGGATTCTCTCTGGAGGAAGATAACATCATCCAGAGCTTCTGTAATTTTCCATAAGTGTAAGGTGTAGCATTCAGTCAAAATTTCCAGGTGTGCTAGGAGAGAGAGTTTGAAATAAGTAAATATGCAGTTGTGGGGAGACAGTATAAACATTGATCGCAAAATAACTATAACTGATATGGTCAAGAAAATAGATGAGTTATAGAAAATTGACCAGAGAATTGGAATTTATATGGAAGAATCAAGAGGAAACTTGATTAAACCTGGCAGATGGGATTAATAGCAGATCAGGCACATCAGCGGAGACATTTAATGAACTGGAAAATAGGTCTATAGAAAACATGCAGATGGAAGCACAGAGAGAAGAAAAGATGGAAAATTCAGAAAAACTTGAGGTAAATGGGACATGGGGAAAAGGTCAAACAAGGTTGTTTTTAGTGTGCAGCAGGAGAGGAAAAAGGAATAAAGAAGATCATGGTAATATATTTAAGCATGCCTTTCTGTAACTCATAGAACATGCAGACCAAATCAAAACAACAACCAACCTCATTTAAAGATATACAATATTTGGGCTGGGTGTGGTGGCTCACCCCTTTAATACCAGCACTTTGGGAGGCTGAGGCGGGTGGATCACTTGAGGCCAGGTATTCAAGACATGCCTGGCCAACATGGCAAAAACCCATCTCTACTAAAAATATGAAGATACTATACTATATCATGTATAAGAACTTTTATTACTGTACGCTCCCATTTTTTTCTGTCTATGATAGAAACCCACAATACATATTTGTTATTTTTGCTTTAAACAGTCAATTACCATTTCAAGAGAATTAAATCAGAAAAAAAAAATGGCTTTACATTTACCCACATAGTTACCATTTCTGGTATTCTTTATTTCTTTGCGTAGATCTGGATTGCCACCAGCAACTTATACATTTATTAGTTTACTTGAAACTATCCCCAAAGCTCACTAATGTTCTTTACTTTTTTACAATAAACAACCCATAATGAGGAAAAAGTCACAACTGACCCAGAAATGATAGAGATGATAGAATTAGCTTAGAAAAGGACATTAAAGCAGTTATATCTGTATTTCATGGAGAAGCTAAAAGACACATTGAACAATCTGTGTAGACACGTGGAATATAAACCCAAAGCAAACTCCTAGAGATAAAAATTGCAGTGTCTGAGTTGAAAACTACACTAGATGGGATTAATAACAGACTAAACAGAAGGAAAGATTAGTAAATTTGGAAATATAGCAATAAAAAGCTTTCAAAAATGAAACAACAGAAAGGTACTATTAGAGTTGATGAAAGAGAAATACAATTTGCTAATATCTGGAATGAAAAAAGGAGCTATATGGATTCTACAGAATTAAAAAGATAATGGAAGGATAGATATGAACATCTTACGTAAATAAAGTTGAAATTTTAGATGAAATAGACAAAATCGTAAAAAATGACTTATCAAAACTGGCACAAGAATAAATAGAAAACGTTAATACTTTTGTATATATTAAACCTGTAATTAAAAATATTTGTTTATAGAAGACTTCAGGCCCAGCAAGCTTCAAGGAATTCTTATAATTATGTAATGAAAAAATAACATTTATCTTATATAAACACTTAAAGAGAATTTTTAAAAAGAGGTAACATGTCCCAATTTATATTATGAAACCATCATAGCCTAAGTAGCAAAACCTGAAAAAAACTTTACAAGAAAGGAAATTTTCAGCCAGTCTCATGAGCATAGGTGTTAAAATCTTAAACAAAATGTTGTCTAATTTAATCCAGCAATACATAAAAAAGAACATCACAAACACAGTTGTATTCTAGAAATGCAGGCTAGGTCTAGCACTAGGAAATCTATTGCTGTTGTTCTTCTGTTTGTAGTTAGAAGTGCTACATGTATACTTCACATTTTATGCGGATTATTACAAAGGCATACTCAGAGGTCATGACTTAATAAAACCCTTAGAAAGCTGTAAATAGGTGGAAATTTTTTTCAGTGTGATAAAGAATATCTACAAAGCATATAGCAAATGCTATATTAAATGGTGAAATACTGAAAACTTTCTCTTTGAGGTATGGAAGAAGAGAAAGATGTTTGCTGTCAGCACTTTTATTTGACATTGTGTTGGAGGTCCTTACCAGTTAGAAGTTACAAACAAGAAATAAAAAGCATAAAGTTTTGAAAGACAAAGTTGCCACTGATGACCACAGAAAATTGAACAGAATCTATGGATAAAGCCTTAAAATTAATAAGTGAATTTAGCGAATTCTCTTCAGAAATCAATTTTATTTCTGCCTAGTAGCCACAGATAGTTTGAAAATAAAATGTGAAAGATAACACTTAAGTTAGCATTCAGAAACATCGAATACCTTGACTTAAATGAAAGATGAACTCTACACAGAACACTATAAAAATTACTGAAAGAAAACGACATAAATAAATAGGTTATATAATTTTCATGCAGAAGACTATTGTAAAGAAGTCAGTTTTTCCAGAGTTGCTATACAAATTTAATGTGATTCCAGTCCAGATGTTCTTTGTGGGAAGAGAGGCGATGGGTGAAAAATAAGCTGATAGTAAAACAAAAATGAGAATCCAAATGACTAAAGTTAGCTAAAGAAAATATTGAAGGCTGGGTGCAGTGGCTGTAGTCCCAGCACTTTGGGAGGCTGAGGTGGGGGTAGATGATGAGGTCAGGAGTTTGAGACCAGCATGACCAACATAGTGAAACCCTGTCTCTACTAAAAATAACAAAAATTAGCCAGGCATGGTGGCGCGCACCTGTAATCCCAACTACTTGGGAGGCTGAGGCAGGACAATCGCTTGAACCCGGGAGACGGAGGTTGCAGTGACCTGAGATCGCACCATTGCACTCCAGCCTAGGTGACAAAGCAAGACTCCGTCTCAAAAAAAGAAAAGAAAATATTGAAGAAAAGGATAAAACATGGAGGATTTATACTTCCAAATATGTAAATGATAAAACAGTAAAGCTCTATTGCATGAAAAAAAATGAATTTTAAAAAGGAAAGAAGGAAATATAAAGATTAGGAGTAGATATTAATGCAGTAGAAAACAAGGCCTTTTAAAAAGGATATACACTATGTGATTCCATTTATACTTAGTTCAAAAATAGGAAAACCAATCAATAGTGATAGAAGTGGTTACCTGGGACAGGAGATACAGGATGGATAATGACTGACATGCGTGATGACTGGGAGAGTACATGAGCTTCTAGAGTGCTGGTCATACAGTGTATCAGTAGTTCTCAAAGTGTGGTCTCTGGATACCTGGGTAACTGAGACCTTTGTAGAGAATCCATGAGGTCAGAACTCTTATTCATGATAATATGTATTATTTGTTTTTTCCTTTATATTTACTTTTTTTTTTTTTTTTTTTGAGATAGAGTCTTGCTCTGTCACCAGGCTGGAGTGCAGTGGCACCATCTTGGCTCACTGCAAATAGGCTAGTTTTCTATTCCAAAAATACCTTTTTTTGTTTGTTTGTTTCTAAATTAAAAATTATAATGCTTATAGACAAACTCAAGCACTGTAAAAATATACACAAATGTAAGTCTTCAGGAATCCTCAGCCCCTTCCAGAAAACCATTAACAACAGTTTGACAGTTCTTCATATCTAATGTATATATTAACATTTTTTTTTAAAGTTAGATCATGTATTTATGATTTTATAAATGTGTTGAACATTTGTTTCCAATCTTCAGTATTAAAAATACTGTGATGCCTGTGATTTAAAAAAAAAAAAAATCTTGTTTTTTTGTATATGCTTCTTTTTGATTTCTAAGATTCTGATAGAACAGTAATTTTGCTTAAAGCCTGAGCAAGCCGGGCGCGGTGGCTCAAGCCTGTAATCCCAGCACTTTGGGAGGCCGAGACGGGCGGATCACGAGGTCAGGAGATCGAGACCATCCTGGCTAATACGGTGAAACCCCATCTCTACTAAAAAATACAAAAAACTAGCCGGGCGAGGTGGCGGGCGCCTGTAGTCCCAGCTACTCGGGAGGCTGAGGCAGGAGAATGGCGTAAACCCGGGAGGCGGAGCTTGCAGTGAGCTGAGATCCGGCCACTGCATTCCAGCCTGGGCGACAGAGAGAGACTCCGTCTCCAAAAAAAAAAAAAAAAAAAAAAAAAGCCTGAGCAAAAATGTATGCATTATTAATAGAGTAAAAATCTATTATATTCCTCTTTTATTAAATGTTTATGGGCTAATTATACCTGGTAAATTATGCTATAAATTGAATTTCTATACCTCTAAAAGACATGTCCTTTAGTTTGAGTATTGAGAAAATTATTTTATGATGAACATGAACTTAGCCATACGGGGCATGGGATTGGGGTGAGCACCTAGGGAAAGGCCACTGAGATTTCTTCTTGCCATATGCCTGCTCAGTTGTATTTTTGCAGAATTGCTTAAGAAGTACTCCTTATATTCAGTTGTCATTTTTCTTTTTTCATTTTAGGTAACACTGTATAACACTGATCAGGATGGTAGTGATAGCCCACGCAGTAGCCTTAACAACAGTCTCTCAGACCAGAGTTTGGCATCTGTTAATTTGAACAGTGTTGGAAGTGTGCATAGTTATACACCGGTAAGTCTTGATGAAGTTAACATGTTAATAGTTATTCATTTAGTACTTAAAACTAAACCAAACATAATTGAAATGCAAATTTAAAAATGAAGGTATGTTTTTCTCACTAATAAATTTATTAACTTTAGATAAAACTTATTTAGAGGAGATTGTAACTTGTTAGTGTTTTAATTTGGTACCATATTCGATTTTTAAAAAATGGTTGTGCAGTGTTAACAGATTTTGGTCTACTTTATTCTGTCTGTTCTGTGTCCAAGAGAGAAGCCATTGGAACAGGAAAAAAATTGCACTTTAGTCTAGTAGAGCGATAGTTGGTGATATTCTATACTTCTTAGAAAAAGAGCTTAGAAGATGTGTGTGTCGACATGGTTTCCAGCTGTAGATCTGAGAAGGGAATTCTGTAAACCCCAGAGGTTAGGGTGGCCTGGTACTCAATTTTTAACTACTCATGTATTTTCAGTTTGGATCCAGGGGGCAAAAAGCCATGCTATAAAGGGACCTGTGTATGAGTACTCTTGCTTCTATACTAATTTGTTACCTATTACAAGAACATGACTCTTAGGGTATCTGTTATTCTTTTCAAACTACCTGGCAACTGTCTTCCTCAGTGAGCAGATAATAGAGCCCAAGAGCTACACACCACATTGTTTGTCAGTGTAAACTTGATCTTACCAGATCACTCCCTGTTGTTCCAGGATGAGTAAATAGGAAAAAACTTACACAGGACAAAGATATAAAGGGAGAGACCCGAAAGAAAATAACACAAGGGAAAGAAAAACATAGCAGAATTAAAATTCACATTGAATGTAGGAAAAAAGAAAGTTGCCTCTGCAAAATTATTATTGCCTGGTGGAAAAAAGTATTATCCCACAATGGAGAAGAAAGAAAATGGAATAAAAATTATGTAAAAGAAGACAGTAAATGTGGAGAACTGAGAATTGTAGTTGTCCCTGCAGAAGAAAAAGTTGTTATAGAAGCGATTTTCAGAAGAAATAGAGATTTAAAGGGATACTGAGTTCTAGAAGAAATTAATGGGGGAAAAACGTATACAGTCAGCCCTTCATATTTGTAGGTTCCGCATCCACAGATTTAACCAAACTTTGGATTGAAAATATTTGAACAACAAAATACAATTAAAAACAAAAAAAAAGTACAGCAATAAAAAATATATGCTGGAATGAGTTGGCTCATACCTGTAATCCCAGTACTTTGGGAGGCTGAGGCAAGAGGATTGCTTGAGACCAGGAGTTTGATATCAGCCTGGCCAACATAGTGAGACCCCGTCTTTAAAAAGCGAAATAGCCAGACACTGTGGCATGCACCTTAGGAGGCTGAGAAGGGAGGATCACTTGAACCCAGGAATAATCATGTCACTCCACTCCGGCCTGGGCGATAGAATGAGACTGTATTTCTTTCTTTTTTTTTTTTTTTTAAAGGAAAAAAATGTAGTTTAATAACTTTGCATTGTATTAGGTATTAATCATCTAGAGATGATTTAAAGTATATGGGAGGATAGATTATATGCAAATATTATAACATTTTGTATAAGGGACTTGAGCATGTGCAGATTTTGTATTCTAGTGGGTTGGGGTTCCTTTACCCAATCCCTCGCAGATACTAAAGGACTGCTGTATATAGATACATTATGGCAAATTTTAAAATTTCATAAGTGGTTACCCATATAAATACTCTGACAGAATAAGTAAGTTATATATAAAGAAACACAAATCAGACCTCCGCCTCTCTTTTTCTCTCTCTTTTTAGACACAGGGTCTTGGCTAAGTGGGCCAAACTGGTCTCGGACTCCTGGCTTAAGCAATCCTCCTGCCCTGTTGGCTTCCCAAAGTGCTAGGATTACAAGCATGAGCCACCATTCCTGGCCTCAGGCTTCTCTTTGATACTACTAAATGCCAGAAGATAATGGAGCATTGTATGCAGAGTTTTGAGAGAATGAGTTTGGAATAACAAATATTATGCCCAAATTTTAATTCATTTGTGAAGGCAAGAGAAAGACTTTCTTTGATATGCAGAGATTAGAAAGTATCCTGCCCTTGTTTTCATGTATCTTTCCTGAAAAAAATTATTTACCCGTGATCAAGATTAATTAAATAATAATGACAAAGTCAAGTTATAAAACAATAGTTGGAACATTGAAGCAAACTCAGCAAAGATATAATGATTTTAAGTTGCTTTTTGAAGTAATATAAGTGTAAAAAATCTTGACCAAAAGAACGCAAAGAACACTGTCCAGTATCACAAAGCATTATAAAAGGACAAATTTAAAAAGCATGTATAGAACTAGATGACAGAAGTAAGAACTAACATGTTTGTTGTGCCAATAAATGTAACAGGGTTAAACTTCCCTGTTTAAAGCGAGACTTTGTAGACTGCTTTTTTTTGTTGTTTTTGAGATGGAGTCTCGCTCTGTTGGCCGGGCTGGAGTGCAATGGCGCAGCTCACAACAATCTCTGCCTCCCAGGTTCAGGCGATTCTTTTGCCTCAGCCTCTCAAGTTGCTGGGATTACAGGCGTGAGCCACCACACCTAGCTACTTTTTGTATTTTTAGTTGAGACAGGGTTTCACCATGTTGGCCAGGCTGGTCTCGAACTTCTGACTTCAGGTGATCTGCCCGCCTTGGCCTCTTAAAGTGCTGGAATTATAGGCGTTGAGCCACCATGCCCGTCCCTGCTGTTTTCTTTCAACAATAAAGTGTCAAATGGTTGAGCAGTCCCTAAGCAACAGTGCAGTGGCAGCTGCCGATTGGGTTTATCACACCTATATAGTTTGATCCTGTAAGGCCACAATGAGCCCACATGGATTGAGATAGTTTTATTACTTATACAGACAGTATAAACCAGGTTAGCATGGTGTCAGCTCCCTACATCCCACATGACAGTACTAGATGACAGACTACTCGAGTAGTAGCTCACTCTGTAATAGAGGAACAAATTCCATAGTGCAGCTAAGCAGTTTTGTAACCTGCAGCTGTACCCTAAGGGAGTAAGGCAGAAAGTCCCATGCCTCACTCAGCCAGGGAGGTAGATGAGAACCTGTTTCTTGGCAACCTCTTGCAAAATAGAAAGGTGGATGAGTAACTGCCCCATGGCCATCTCCTGCAAGACATGAGGGCAGATGAGAATTTTAATAAATAAAACCACTTGTTCCAGGATAATCACAGGGTGTTCCACCAAGGCTTAGGTCATCCTGCCATGGAGCCTTGCCTACATTGTGTGGAGATGTGTAAGGACACTAGGGTGCCAGCGGCGGAGCCATTTTCTTATGTAAAAATCCATATTTTTCCATGTTATTGCAGACTCCTTATGAGCATTATTTTTAATGGCTACTTAAGTTTCTAGTCAGTGTTCGTACATTAATTTTTCAAAACACTAAACAAATGGTAGTTTACCACCTTTTCATATAGTACGTAGTCTTTAAGAAATACAGATGATTATCTTTTATTGATTTTATTTCTAGTTTTCCTGCTTTTAAAGGTAAGTTTTCCCTGGAGATGAAGAGTTAGGCATATTTAAGCTCCTTGTTGCTTTGGGCAGAGCCATACATCTGACTCATAGTACTCACAGTATTTGGGTTTGTATACTAAAAAATAATTGAATAAATGAAAGAAATGTTAGTAGTTTTATAGTTTTAGTGGAGTTTGAGATAAAATAGCTTCTGTAGAAATCACGATTGAAGATTTTACAGAAAGCCTAAAAGGATTCTAGGCCTAACTCATCACTTACTTGTATGATCTAAGGCAAGTTATTTAACTTTGAATTCTTTTCCTTCTGTGAAATATGGAGGTTGGGTTAGACTTCTACAGTTCTTCAAGATTCAGTTTAACTGTTTTGCTTTCTGTCCATTATGTTTTAACAGAGGATGGGAAAGCCTGAGACAGAAGAGTTATTTTCTTTGAATTCCAGTGTTGGCACTGTTTTCAGTTATATCTTTTATATAACAAGCCAATTGTAATTAGTAGAGAGGCTGAATTAGTTGTGTTTTCTTTTAATGTTAGGTGACAAGCCATCCAGAATCAGTCTCTCAATCATTAACTCCTCAGCAGCAACCACAGTACAACCTTCCAGAAAGAGACAAGCAACTACTTTTCTCAGAATATAATTTTGAAGATCTTAGTGCCTCATTTCGGAGCCTTTATAAGTCAGTTTTTGAGCAGTCACTTAGTCAACAAGGTGAGTTTTCTTAAAACCTTTTTTATGACAAAGTTTTATTGGAAAAAGGTTTTTAAATTATTTCACATGACAGCTGTTATACTCTTAATCTTAAAATATTATCATCACAATAAGAATTGGATAATTATATTTTGTCCTTTGTGCCTTTTGTATGTTCTGTTTATATCATAGCACAAAAATGGCAGATAAATTTTATGTTGCATGCCTACTTACTTGTTTACTAGTGTCATCCAGGAGCACTGTGTTAAAGAATTCTGACACTGCATCTATACCATATGGGAAACACCACTATAATTAATTAGTGATATCTGGCATATGAAGTGTTTGAGTGGTGAATGTTGCACCATAAGAATAGACGTGCCTTGCTTTTGGTCTGACTGGTATTAGCAAAAAGATAACTATCGGAATGTGGTAGCACCAAATTTGTGATTTCGAGTGTGGCACTTACAAGTGAATACATCAGCTACTAGTAAACTTTGGGTCATTGTTTTACACAATATACATAAGTCAGATTTTAATATTAAAAGTGACTTTAGTTGAGACACACTATTATATCTCAACCAAATGCTAGATTCTTGCTCTAATGTGTTCTCGTCCCTTTAACTGCTGGTTTAATTTTAATCAGAGGGTAAAAATGTCACATCTTTTCCCTAAAGATGACTAGTCAGAAATTGTTGGGAACTCTACTGTTGAAGCATTTCCTAATTACTTGTCTGTTTGGCACATTAACTATTTATACCCCATGTTTTATTCCTTTCCTGCTGCTGTGCCAAAATACCTTAGAATGGGTAATTTATAAACAACAGAAATGTATTTCTCACAGTTTGGGAGGTTGGGAAGTTCAGGATCAAGGAACCAACAGATTTGGTGTCTGGCAAGGGCTTGTTCATCGTAAATGGTGCCTTTTGGCAGTATTCTCACATGGAGCTGAGCACTGTGTCCTCATGTGGCAGACAACATGGAAGGGCAAAAAGTAGCTAGTTCTCTCCATCCCTTTTGCAAGGCCCAATCCCTCATTACCTCCTCAAGGTCCCACTTCTTAATACCATCACCTGGGGGTTTAAGTTCCAACATGTGAATTTTGGAGGGACACATACATTGAAACTGTAGCACCCCCACCCAGAAAGTTTATATGTTCACAGCAGTGAACAAAAATAAACAGAAATCCTTGTCTTTATACTGTTTGCATGTTAATACTTACTTTCAGTTAATGTTAATGTTATATACCGTTACTTATATTGATGAATACTGATCATGTGTATGTGAAATGGCTTTTTCTGGTTAGCATTTGAATTTAAAGTAAGATTCATATGTTTTCTCAACTTTTAAGTTTTTTATCTATAAAAGTTTAAAAAGAACTAATAGAAGAGTTTGCTAAGCAAATCCAGCCTTGGTATTCATAATAGAAAAATAAGGGCTTTGAAATAACAATGATAATTTCTGAAACCCATAATTCCATTCCATCACACTATTTAAAAAAAAAAAAAAAAAAAAAAGCATCGATGGGAATTCTGGGTTCTAGTCCAGGTTCTGCCATTAAGTCAACTGAGTTAACTTCTCATCTCTGGACTTCAGTGTCCCCATTTGTACAATAAAGAGGATTGGATTAGATCAGTGATTTTCAGATTGTTTTCTTCAGAGGCTTTGGCTTTTGTAAAGATCTTCGGGACTGCCGGAGGAGAAATGTGCGGATGCAGAGGTAGACCTAGTAAGCTTCCTTCCCCAGCTTCAAAGAAACAATTTTAGTATACTTATCAGTTTTATATATTGGGCTTCTGGAGAGATATTTTGCTTTCTTTTATTTAAAAATAATTTGAGATTGAAAATGTTGATACAGATCAGACCTTGGTTCCCTTGTAAAATGCTAGGATTTTATTAAAAATTGATAAATTACTGCTTTCTTTGATCTAACGGTAATAACCCTACAGATTCCTTATATGTGACTATTTTCTAGGGCCAAGGCAAGAACTTTTATTAACTCTTCTGCCTGTAAAACTTGGTAGCTTTTAAGATTATCTTGCAGTGTACTCAAATACAGTTTTACTACTAATTACAAATATGAGAATAATTTTATCTTTTTAAAACTTGGTTATTTTATTGATTGATATTATCTTGTGGTTTTTTTTTTATTCAATAAAATTATTTTTATGTTTGGTTCAGCATAACATTGCATGGGCCACCCTTTGGGATTTGAAAATAGTCTAGTTACATAGAACCAAATGTTGCAGTAAGATTATCTAACTACTTGCAGACCAAACAAAAATTATCCTTAACATTAAGCACTTTTGGCTTAATCATCATCATGGCAGCTAACATTTATAGAGCTCATCCTGCAGCTTATACCTTCACTATGTAGAAAGTAAAAAGTTCCTCTTCAAAAGTTTCCTTTCTTGTTAAAGAATAAATCATAAGTGTTAGAAATAATAGTTTCTTTTAAAAACTAACTTCCTTTAAGCCTCCTTACTTTATGCTAATAACTCTTTGTTGGGCCCTATCCTATGTAGCTGTTAAACATGCTCACAGGCGCCTAGTACATTCTATGTCCTTGTACCTTAACCAAGATGTTTGTGCTGGACATGCTCACAGGCACATTCCAGCTCGCAGCCTATGCCCCTTCCCTAATTTGGCATAAACAACGTCCTCTTTTCCTTTGTCTTTCCATTACTTTTACCTATTTGGAAAAGTTTTAAACTGTTAGCCAGTTGGGTTTTAGTTTAGATTGTGCGATCTTCTATCAAAGCCTTGGTCTTTATGCCTACAGAGAACCATCCTGAGTGTGACCCCAACACCTTTCCCACTTTTCCCCTAACATTTACTTACCTTTCAAGACTCAATTCAGGCACTGTCTTTAAAACAAAGGCTTTTCTATATTTTGAGCCGCCTCCTTGCTGAACAGACAAGGAGCAGTTTTCATAATCCTCTGTATACTTTAGTTTTAGTACTTATATTGTTGGTCATAATCTTGTCTTTCTCTTCCGCTCAAGGGTGGGGAATTATATTTCTTCTCAATAACCACAGAGCCTAGTTTGTAGTGGATGTTGCATTAGCACTTGTTAAATTGAACCAGTGTAGCTCCCTGGCATCATATGCTTTTGTTACATTAATAATTTTACAAACATTTATCATAAAATACAGCTGAAATCCGACCATAAACGATCTTGCTCTCTCTGACTGTTTTTAGGTTTGATGAACATCCCTTCTGAATCTTCCCAGCAGTCCCACACTTCATGTTCCTATCAGCACTCTCCCAGCAGTACAGTGAGCACTCACCCACACAGCAACCAAAGCAGCCTGTCCAACAGTCATGGCAGTGGCCTCAATACCACAGGCAGTAATTCGGTTGCACAGGTCTCACTATCTCACCCCCAGATGCACACACAGCCATCTCCACATCCTCCCCATCGACCTCATGGTTTACCACAGCATCCGCAGCGTTCCCCGCACCCAGCACCACACCCACAGCAACACAGCCAGCTCCAGTCTCCTCACCCCCAGCATCCCTCTCCACATCAACACATACAGCACCATCCGAACCATCAGCATCAGACGTTAACACATCAGGCACCCCCACCCCCACAACAGGTATCCTGTAATTCTGGTAAGTTTTTGTCTCCTGGCTTGTGTTTGGCTAACTGTGAATTAGGATCTGTCCTTTGTTATTTGGAGCTCATGTAGTATTTGCTACCAAAACCTCTTTTCATCTGTTTCCTTTTATGTTTCCTTGCTATAATCCTATAGTTGTAACTCATTTAATTCATAGACTGACCTGGCGATTTTCTTGATTAAAATTTATTGTGGCAACATAGGCAAACCCAGCAACCCTTGCAGGTTTTGATTTTAACTGTTGTTTGTAATTTAGATACATCATCTTACATTATCCTCCCAAATCAAGTATAGATGACCACATTTTATATATAGGAAAATGCAACTAAAAGAATTTTAAGTAATTTGCCTAAGATCATACTGTGGTAAGTGGTAGAACTGGGATTTATATTCTGACATGTCTGACTTCAAAGCTTGTAACACCAGTTATTCTAAAAGAACTAAAATTAGCAGACATTTACTAAGTGGGTAGGGTTTGCTCACCCACTCTTTGCAGAGTTTGCTTTATTTTTATTTGCCAAGTCAGTATTTATTAAAGGAGCCTCCTCTTCCTCTTACCCACAACAACAAATTAGTCATGGCAAGTGCCCTGGTTCCTGGTCATAATTTCATTTCAGTTAACCTTTTTCCTACCCTGACCTTTTGACTACCTGAGTTGCGTTTACCTCAAGAGATCGGGATTCTAGTACTGCTTTGGCTGTTGTATTACTAAGTGACTTAAATCATATAATTCCTTTGAACTTTGGTTTCCTTATCCGTGAAGTTCTTCTTGAACTAAAGGATCTGAGTCTGGTAGACTTGCATGTTCGTGGCTCATTTGGGTATTAGTTTAATCCCCTCCCACCCCGCAACAAATTTCTTCCTAAATTATGACTTGCTTCATGGCAGGGTCATGTTGTCTCTAGTTGATTGTTTATTTTAAAAATCCATAATTGGCAGAATTTTGTAATCAAGTAGCCAGTAGTTGATATAGCCAAGAGATGCCTTGATGTAGCAAAAGCAAACCAACCAACCCTTTTTGTTGGTCTTTATCTTCATCCATGCAGGGGTGATCCTAGAAACAGAGTGGCTTGACAGCAGTCACTGAATGGAGAATTTTCTTCCACTATTCAGTACTGCTGTCTCATTGAGGGTAACTCTTGCTACATGGCCTCTGACTAATGACTGGTTTGCTGACATACAGATTATGGAGTCTTAAACTCTTCTGATGTCATACCAGAGGATACCATTTCTGACTAGAAATGCCGTGACGTGGATTCATCAGCATTTCTTACAGAGATCTCACTCCTCTTCCTTCACTAACTTGGCAGGGGGACTGTGTTAAATTTTTTTCTCCTAAGATTGCCTTGGAAGAAGCATTTACTCTTACTATATGGTCTGATCCACCTGCCTTAAGTCATTGCATTAAATTGTACTGTGTATTGCCTCTAAATGAGAACCTGCCTCTCTGAGTTCTTTTAAGGTCATAGCAAGACAGGAAAATGAACTTTATATAGGGGAAAATACAGATTTGCATGACATTTCCCACCTGTTCATTTATTGGTACTATAATGTAAAGAGCAGTATCAAGTTTGATATTACTAGGTGATGTGGCAGTTTGGAAGCTGCCAGACTGGAGGTTAGAAGACCTGGGTTCAAGTCTTAGATTCATCATGATAACCTTGCTAAGTTATGTCACCTCTCTGGTTCAGTTTCTTTTATTTGTAAAACGGAGAGAAATAATACCTTTCTGCCTATCTCACAGAGCAGATTGCCCAACACATGATAATAATGAGTACAAATCCCCTTGTAAGACTGGACAAGAATCAGCCAATTTCAGGAATAGGGCCAGCTCATCGTTTTCCCTTACCACACTTCACCCTTTCACCATCCAGGAATTAGACTGTTGTCAATATTACTTTTATAGGTGTTTCAAATGATTGGTATGCGACACTTGATATGCTAAAAGAAAGCTGTCGAATTGCCAGCAGTGTTAATTGGTCAGATGTAGACCTTTCACAGTTTCAAGGTGAGTGTTGGTTCTTTTTGACATATAACCAAATACACATGATCCTGTTTCTCTGCTAGATTATAACTTTCTTTGTAGTAGAAATAAACATCTTATATAGCATTTCTTTTGCAGTTGGTAAAATTCATAATGATTTTGGCCAGTTGATATAGCAGAGGGTCACAGACAAGTTCTGAAAGAAATTTGGCCACATTTAAAATAATTGGGCTTTGAATAACTTAAAAAGATCATTCTTCATTGCGTGGGCAAATCACTGCCATAAAATGGAGTGAGTGGAAATTTTGAGGGCTGAAAAAAATTGTATCTTGCTATTTTCCTTGCAATGTTTGTTGCATAACTGTGCTAACATATTTTTAATGCTTTCCTCATAGGTCTGATGGAGAGTATGAGACAGGCAGATCTCAAGAACTGGTCTTTAGATCAAGTTCAGTTTGCCGATCTCTGTTCTTCTCTTAATCAGTTCTTTACACAAACTGGCCTTATTCATTCACAGAGTAATGTTCAGCAAAATGTTTGTCATGGTGCCATGCATCCAACAAAACCTTCCCAACACATTGGAACAGGTATGGGATTAGTTATCTTCTTGATTTTTCTCATTTTCTCATTCATTCGAAATGTGGTAACTGTCTTAACCAACTTGGCTTGCTGCTAATGGTGACAGTGATCTGTTTACAAATTTTTATTTATAAGAAATGAATGAAAGCAAATAATTTATATGTAGGGTATATCTTAGAAAAATTGAGGTAAAGAGACTGTATGTTCTTCCGTTGTGATTTATATGATTGCTTTATTATTTACAGTTAACTGTTGTCATTCATTAACCTTTTACTAAGTTATCAAACAATAATTAAATTATATTGGAGATAACATGTTTTTATATGACATAATTATGAGATTATATTAATTTAAATTTGTACAGATCTGCAATGGAAATCGGCGTGTCTTGTCTATCTCCTAAGAATGTTAAAATGCAAGAATTCAAAGTGTTTGAAGAGTGGACGTAATGGAAAATAGTCTCACTGATGTTTTACTTTAGACCCAAAATCTTTCCTATGTATTTTTAAAATCTCGCTTTCTTCCTTTATTCTTTATCCTTGCAGCCATGTCTTCTACTCTGATTGCACTGCCCACATTTTTCTATAGGAATTTCATATCCAAGTTACTTCTTTCTTCATTTTAATTCCTTACCTTGTCTTATCATCAAGTTTATTTCTTTTCTGTGTGTTATATTGACTTTACATTTTATGCCAACAAGCTCTCTCTTCTCTGTCCTGAGTGGCTTCCTTTAACCATTATTCTATCTTATTTCACATCTTTCGTCCACCCATGGTTTGAGTTTATTCAACTCAAGCTTATCAATCTATGTCTTTCTTTTCATGAAATCTTTATTTCTGTATCCTTTGATGTAGTGGAAATCTATTATCTTTTCTTCTTCCATCTTGAATAGCTTTTCCTAAGCTATTTTGAATTGCTTATCCTGCCTGAAACTTTTAGTCACTCTTTGATTCTGGTGACCTATTCATTCAGTGAATTATATCCACACAAGGGCCTCATTCAGTCCCGTGACTGATTTCCCTCTGTGCCGGAGAGAATTTAGTTTTTGATAACTTTTTAGCTTCTTTGTCTCTCTCTCCTTTTGTTAGTTCTTTTTGGTACCTTTCTGATATGTATTCATTTTTAAGCATCAAGATCTCTATAATTCAGGTATCTTCACTTATGTGCCCTTCTTCCATTTCATTTTTTAAAATATTTTCTTGCAGATGGACAGCATGTCTTCTTTGTTTCTCTCATGGGTTCTAAGCCCATACTTTGTCCCTTTCAGGATATATCACTTTCAGTTTTTCAACTTGCTTTAAGTTCTTAGACCAGGTGTACCACCTCCCTCTGTTTTTTATCCCTTTTTTCTCCTTTCCTCTTTTCTTTCTATATTCATCCAAAATTGTTGCTTCTAAGTGCTGTCATGATGTTCACTTCTTTGCTAACTCCACCTCTAATCATTTCAGTCAGCCTCAAAAAGTACTAAGTGAAATTAAATAGCTTATATATGTATCACTAGTCTTGTGTGTTTGGAGGTAAGTACCTGTGTTGCTCATAGATTGTTGCCTCAGGCAGGACAAGTAGAAGAAGTTGTGGGTCAGTCTTAGAAGAAGGCAGCCTTGGCCAGGCGTGGTGGCTCATGCCTGCAACCCCAGCCCTTTGGGAGGCTGAGGCAGGCTGATCACCTGAAGTCAAAGTTTGAGACCAGCCTGGCCAACATGGTGAAACCCCGTCTCTACTAAAAATACAAAAATTAACTGGGCGTGGTGGCACGTGCCTGTAATCCCAGCCACCTGGGAGGCGGAGGTTGCAGTGAGCTGAGATCATGCCACTGCACTCCAGCCTGGGCAACAGAGGGAGGCTTAGTCTCCAAAGAAGAAGAAGAAGAAGGCAATCTCAAAAGCCAGTGTACATGTTAGCCAGTAGCTCCCACATTGTTGAATTTCAGTTTTGTGCCCTAAGTCTGTAAGAAAGTTCTATGTGTACCTTTTGGTCTTGGAACTTGGTAGTTTTGTCATGGAAAAAACACTGTTTATCTACTGCTGTCCTCTGTCAGAGAGTACCCAGGCACTCCTGGATTCTCTCTAGACTGAGATCCTGAGTTATTTTCCTAAAGCCTTTTGTTCCTAGACTTCTGTAGTCATCTCTTCTTGAGCCTTGACCTTGGCTATTTGTTCTGGTGTTCTGTGATTCTGTTAATTTTTTCTGTCATCTCTTTTGTCAGGGCCCTCCTCCTCTCTAGGGTCCCAGTGACACCTTTGTGATTCTCAGTGCTACCCTAGTCACAGCCTGTCAAAGGTAGAAAAACTATAGTTTTTCTTCAGTGTTTATTCAGTTCTTTCTACTCTCACTCCCCTTTTGTATCTTCCTTCTGACTCATGCCTGCCAAGCTGTGTTGGCCTCTGACAGGTTGTTCTCTCATCAGTTATGGTGCTCCAAGTATTCATCACTTCATGCCTGCTGATGTCTGTTCACAAATATTCAGATTTTTTTTTTACATGTCCAGCCTGCTTCCTCTTGTTTTAAGTGTGTCTTTCTGTCATTCCTTTTTTCTCTTCCTTACATCCCTGTATATCACATCCATTCAGATCTTTCACTTCCCTCATTTCTACACCCCAATAATTCTTTGTCATAATTTCTTAGAAGTATAGTCAAGAGGAGACTTTCAGAGGGCTGCTGATTTTATCCCTTTATTTAACAGATAAGGACATTTTGATCCAGGGGGAGAAAGTGACTTGCCCAAAGTTGTAAAATTCATTTAGGTGTAGGTCTTGAGTCCCAGAATATAGTCTCTCCATTTCCTTAAACCTTTCCTGTTATTCCTGTTTTCAGGGACCCTCTTTTGGTGAACACCTCCTTGAGCTTCCTATAGACTCCAGAAATTAGTGGTGTAGTATGCTAGTGTGGAAGGGAGAAGGATGTTACAGAACACAGTCTATGACATCTTTTCCTAAATCTTTTTACCTGTGGTTATAATTTGTTTATATCTTCTGGCTGTACTACTGTAATTTGATGCTTTGCTTAAAGGTCATTAAATATAGGTAGGGATGCAGTCATTGAGTACATACTAGACACCTTTTCTGTGTCTAGCTGTGTATTGGGCACTGAGAATAAAGACCCCTGTAGTAGCTTTTGTCTCAAAGAGTTCACAACCTAATGGTTGAGACAGGTCCATCAAGAAATACAATATGTTAGGGAGGCCTCTTAGGGAGGCCGAGGCAGGTGGATCATGAGGTCGGGAGATAGAGACCATCCTGGCTAACATGGTGAAACTCCGTCTCTTCTAAAAAAATATTTAAAAAATTAGCCGGGCATGGTGGTGGGTTCCTGTAGTCCCAGCTACTTGGAAGGCTGAGGCAGGAGAATGGCGTGAACCCGGGAGGCAGAGCTTGCAGTGAGCCAAGATTGCGCCACCACATTCCAGCCTGGGCGGCAGAACGAGACTCCGTCTCAAAAAAAAATATATATATATAGTATGTTGAGGGCTACACTTCTCCATAGGGTATAAGTGCAGTAAGAATTCAGAGAAAGGGGTACATACTTCTCTTGGAAAGATGAAAATTTTCCTAGAAGACAACACATTTAAGCTGGACTTTGTAGGTTAAGTGGGATTTTGCAAGACAGGTCAGATCATGTCATGTCTGTTTTCTGCTCAGAACCCTCCATCTTTCTCAGTAAAGACCAATGTTGTTACTATGGCCTATATGGCCTACACAATCTGATCACCGGTTATTTCTGGTCTTGTCTCCTGCCTTCTCCCCTCCACCCCTGTGCTCCAACACTACTGGTCTCCCTGATGTTCTTTGAACACACTAGGTAGCACACTCTACCTAACCAGGGCCTTTGTACTTGCTCTTCCCTCTTGTTCAGAGTGGTCTTCCCTAAGATAGACACATGACTCATTTTCTCATCTTGTTCTCTTTTTTTTCCTTAAAAAAACACCTGCTCAGGGGATGCCTTCCTTGGTCATCCAGCTTGGTGCAGTCTTTAGAAAGTGCACTAGCCGTGCATGTGAAGACCAATCAGCATTTGGAGACAGGATTCCGCCCCGCGTCACTTGCACCAGTATTAGAGCTATAGTTTAGTATAATGTTTCTCCTCTTTTTTCTTTCTAAATCATCAGTATGGTCAGTCAATCAAAGAGCTCAGTTCTGACTATAAACTTCACTGATGAAAGGCATGTTATCATGGGAGGCAGGGACGGGGGTCAGAAGTGTTGGATTCTGGTCCTGGTTCTCTCTCATTTCCTCTGTTCCTGTTTCCCTATCTACATGGACAGAGGTAAGGTCAGAGTAGATTATCTCTGAGGCCATCTCAAGCCTGGATAGTCTGGCTTTCCACTGGAGGGTACAGACTTGTGAGCAGCCAAATACAGAATGCCTTACCTTAATAGAAGTGGAAGATTTTTTCCACTCTTTTTAGTTTCCTCTGGGAAAATGATTATTGTTTTTTAGTTTCATTACAACATTACTAGAATTCAAGTGTAATTTACATGAAATACTAAATAACCTTAGGGAAGTAGGCTTTCCAGAATTCCAGATGTTCCTTACAATGTGAACCACTTTTATAATCATTCCTCATGAGTTATTGGGGGAGGGGTCATATTTGTTCTCTCTCTCTTTTGTATTATGATGTAACGTAGTTGACATTTTGGAGGTGTTAACACTTGATGTCTCCTGTTAATGAAAATATATTAAGAAACTTCTGAAATAAAATTTGAATGAGATCCATGGTCCCCATCCTCACACTACAGAATAATACTCCCCTTCCCCCTCCCCTCCCCTCCTCCCCCACTCCCCTCCCCTCCTCTCCCCACTCCCCTCCCCTCCCCTCTCCCCTCCCCACTCCCCTCTCTTTTGACAGAGACTCACTCTGTTATCCAGGCTGGAGTGTAGTAGCACTATCTCGGCTCACTATAACCTCCATCTCCCAGGTTCAAGCGACTCTCCTCCCTCAGCCTCCCGAGTAGCTGGGACTACATGTGCATGCCACCACGCCCAGCTAATTCTTTGTATTTTTAGTAGAGACAGGGTTTTGCCATGTTGGCCAGTCTGATGTCGAACTCCTGACCTCAGGTGATCTGCCCACCTCTGCCTCCCAAAGTGCTGGGATTACAAGCCTGAGCCACCATGCCCTGCTCAGAATAATACGTTTTTAATCATTGCTTGATGTAGCTGTTTTACTATGTGCAGGTCTTTACTGTTACCTTGTGCTTCCCAGGCACAAGGGCACACATGGTTAGGCCTGCTTCAAGGGTGAGAACATCAGGGAAATGGCGAATAGGTGGTGATGTAGAAAGAGTCCATGAGTGGCTGGGTGCTGTGGCTCACGCCTGTAATCCCAGCACTTTGGGAGGCCGAGACAGGTGGATCACTTGAGGTCAGGAGTTCAAGATCAGCCTGGCCAACATGGTGAAACCCCATCTCTACTAAAAATACAAAAATTAGCCAGGCATGGTAGTGCATGCCTGTAATCCCAGCTACTTGGGAGGCTGAGGCAGGAGAATCGCTCGAACCCGGGAGGCGGAAGTGGCAGTGAGCTGAGATTACGCCACTGCACTCCAGCCTTGGTGACAGAGTGAGACCCTGTCTCAAAAAAAAGAGTCTATGAGTTAGGAGATCTGAATTCTAGTCCTAGCATTGTCAAACTAACGTGTCTTTGGGCAAGTCAAGTTAGCCTTTCTGAGTTTCAGTTGCCTCATCTGTAAAATGGGTATAACAATCCCTGTCTTGCCCTCCTTTGGGGCTTAGTGGGAGGGTCAGATGAAGTAATGGATACAAAAATACTTTTGAATTGTAATGAGGTATGTGACAGCAGCAATAATAGACATAACTTGCCTACCAGTCTACAGTTAGTGGCAGTGCCAGCATTAGTTCCAGTGTGTTCACACCCAGCCTGGCACCCTGTTCAAAAGGCCAAGACCACAGTTATAGCATCTGAAAAGAGTAGTATTTTCTTCCTCTTTTTTCCTCACTTTACCTGCTTAGTTTACTTTCCGGGTAACAATTCTGTTAAGATTTTAGTACTCCATTTGTTTTATTTGTGGTAACATATTTTCCCTCTTTCTGTTTTTAATCTGATTAGGAAATTTGTACATAGATTCTAGGCAAAATCTCCCTCCTTCAGTGATGCCACCCCCTGGTTATCCTCATATCCCACAGGCACTCAGCACTCCAGGAACAACGATGGCAGGTAATGTGTGTGTGTGTGGCGGGGGTGTGTGTGTGTGTGGGTGTGTGATTTATTACCCAGAGTTTAATATTGAGAAGCGTTAGCTTTCCCAGTGGTGAATGAGGTGGCTTCAAGGAGAGAACCCCCTGTTAAGAGGGGCTAGGGAACAATGTCTGGACAGCCACTTGGCACTAGTGCTAACGAAGGGATTCAAGCATCAGTTGGTGTTTGGACTGTAGGACCTGAAGTCCTTTTTAGCCCAAGATGCAATGATTCTACTTACTCTAGTTATTTATTGTCTTGCCTCTCTAAGAAGTCCTGGGGTCACAGTTGAGGGTGTTTGACAGGACTTTAGCAGGTTTTAGGAACCTACTTTATTAGCTCCTGTAGATTCTGCTTCATTCATTCCAAGGGAGTTCCCACAGCTGTAGTTTCCAGGGAAGTACCTCGTAGAGAAGGTAAATTTTAGTAGTTAACTGGTTCATAAACTTTTCCCGCTGGGTTCTTGAATGCAGGATATGTTTCATTTAGCCAGGGGAATACGGCACATTGTTAGAGCTGGAAAGTGTCTTAAGGATCCCTTAGGATAATGGAGGCTCCAAAGGAGAAATGCCTTGCCTAGGCCACCCAGTTTAGTGAGTGGCCAAACCAAGACTCAAGCCCCAGTGTCTGGATTCAGAGTCCATTGTTTTTCTCAGCATACCACACAATTCTTTACTTAGGCTCTTTGAGGAAAAGACATAAAGGTAATGGGGTTGAGGGTGGAATTAAAACCTTGAAGAACTGTGTGGTAGACAGCAGTGAGGAAGGAGTTGGGACCAAGTGATATGTCCTTTGCTGAAGGGGGAAGGAATGTTACTGTTGTGAGTGCTTACTAGTAAATTGTAAGTGGTACCATAAGGTGGATAAGACTCTGGAGCCAGAGCGCTTGTGTTTAAATCTTCATGCTTTGCCACTTAATGGCTGTGTGATGTTAGGCAAGCTACCTAACCCTCCTACCTCAGCTTCCCTGTTTGTACAAGGGGCTAATAACACTACCTAGGTCCTTGAGTTGTTAGGATTAAATGAGAATTGTGTAAATTAGTGCCTGACCCACATTAAGGAACTTACAGGTTTTTTTTCAATGAAGGCATTTCGCCTATATTGTGATATACTGAAAACCTTAGCATTAAATAATTGTACAAGAAAATATTTCAGGGCATATGAGAAAAATGAGTAGCAGACTACTTGAAATTTTGTAATCAGAGTACTAGAAAAATAATCCAGTAAAACTTCCACAACAGTTAAAAGGATATGTATAATTTGTAATAAAAGAAAGAATTCTACAAGTAAATATCAACCTCTACTTTTAAAAAGCAGGTGGTTTAGAAGGGGGTCTGTCAAGATACAGTAACAGCACATGGCCAAACTGGTGCAAGAAGAGCATGGGAAGGTGGGCATTCTGTACTCAACTGTGGTTCCTCCTAGCTTCCTGTGTTCCCTTGTTGATGTTCTCTGTGTTCACTTGGTGTTACTTGGTGGCACAGAAATTAGCTTGCTGGGGAAAATTCAGTATGACATCATTGGTGCACTGCTATCATTATCCTGTTTACCATTCTCATGGGAGCCAATTCATGTTACTGAAACAACGTATTGGAGCAAAACAGACTAAGAGCATTGGCTACATTGGCACTTTTCTTGTGTCTTCCTTACTGCAGCCTGGTATAACGGAAGGAGTGTGGGTCAAGTGAACTGACCTCAGATCCTATCTTTGCCCCCTGTGGTTGTGTGACTTTGGGTAATTTACTCATCCTCTTAAACCGATACTATCCTCTTACCTATAAAATGAGGATCATAAGAGCCACTTTTTGAAGGCTTATGGTTGGATTAGTGAGAGAATGTGTACCTGGCATATAGGAAGTACACAGTAGGGGTTAGTTTATTTCTTTCTTCTCTACCCAAGTTGCTGCTAATATTGCCTCTTTCCTTCCAGGCCATCACAGAGCCATGAACCAGCAGCACATGATGCCTTCCCAAGCCTTCCAGATGCGGCGCTCCCTGCCTCCAGATGACATCCAGGATGACTTTGATTGGGATTCAATTGTGTAGGGCTTGTTTCTGCGAGACACCAGACCCTAACGTTACCTTTCTGTGCAGTGAAGGGAAAGGTTTGAGAGAATCCAGTTGAGAAAACAAACTTGCTAATCACTTTACCAATGTTATCAAAATTACTTTTGAAGACAATCAGAAGGATTTTAGCTGGATAACTTACTGCTTTTATCTGACCTGAACAAGTACTACATGTTTGTCTCCCTGCCAGCTGCCCTATGTAGCTCCTAACTGTTGTGTGATTTGGACGGCTTTTTGTGTATTTGTGTCAGTTTGATGTTAACCACAAGTGCCAGACTGATTTTTCAGACGGAGCCTATTTTGCTGCAAGCAGTTTATATAAAGATACATATGTGTAAATATATGTACAAAAATTACTGAAAGGCTTCAGTTTTTTCTAATTGGATTATTATGTCTTGAAAGGAAAGTTATTGTCAGTTTTTATTCCTTGTTAGGCTATTTTCTGCAGGATGCTTTTAACTGATGTAGGAAACTGAAAGGAAATAGATTTTTTCCAAAGCCAGTTCCCCTTATTTAATCTTTTTTAGAAATGTGGGTAATCTAAGTCAAGGAACCCAGGATTTGACACTCTCCAACAATCCATAGGGGCATGTTGCTCCTGAGCAGCATGAAGAACTGACCAAATTGGTTTTGATGCTTGGGGGATCATAGAGTATTTATGTCTGCTTTTCTAAATCTGTGTTATAACAGCTCTAAAATTTGTTGTTTGGTAAGAAGTTGGGCATCGCTTGGGTCTTTAAACACATCAGTGCTTCCACATTCATCTATGTATTTATTATTCAGAAGTGTTATTTTAATATTTATTGCTACCTTCTGTGAATGCTCAGCTCCTGTTGGGTTCATTAAGGAAAAATGTGTCTGAAAGCACAGAATTACTTTTTTTTTTTTTTTTTTTGAGGTGGAGTCTCACCCTGTTGCCCAGGCTGGAGTGCAGTGGCGCGATCTCAGCTCACTGCAACCTCCGCCTCCTGGGTTCAAGCGATTCTCCTGCCTCAGCCTCCTGAGTAGCTGGGAGTACAGGTGCACACCGCCATGCCTAGCTAATTTTTTGTATTTTAGTAGAAATGGGGTTTCACCATGTTGCCCGGGCTGGTCGCAAACTCCTGAGCTCAGGCAGTCCGCCTGCCTCAGCATCCCAGAGTGCTGGGATTACAGGCATGAGCCACTGCTCCCAGCCCAGAATTACTTTTCTTGATAAGAATTTACAGACAAGACACTCAGAGAGACATTGTGTCATTCTCTGTCATCACTCCTTTTACCATGTGAATAGATTTCTCTGTCTTGGCATTCTTGCTAATTCAGATTTAGTTAAATCGGATTTTTCTGGAATTTGAATCAGATTCCATTTGGGCAACAATAGCAGGGCAGTGTTTCTAAAGCAAGTTTCCCCACTCATCTTCTAGGTTGTCTTGAAAGGAGGATAGAGCCACTTAAAATTTTATTTGCTTCAGTGTTTAATGTAGATATTATGTGGCCTGCTGTTTCTGTTGTCCTGTATGTCTGTGTATGCATGACATTTGGTCCCTTTCTTTGAAATGTAGCCCACCTCTTAATGGTTTTTTTAGTGGTGGTGGTTTGTTTTGTTTCATGTCATATCACAGTTTGCATGGACTGATTATCTTAGTTTTATGATAAAACTAGAAGAAATGAGGGGGTTTTTTTTGTTTTTTTTTTTGATGAATAGATTTTGAATTGATTCTTTAGACCAAAAAAAAGTGTCAATTCTAATGGGGAAAAATATTCCATGAAGTCAAAGAGTAGTAACTGCTCACTGGTTGCTTTTTAGCATCTCTGGTCTTAGCAGCCATGCTAAATCACTTTAATTAGCCTTAGTGATTCTATGGTTGAGTAATCTCTACTTGAACTAAACAAACATCTTTTGTTTCTGTGTGTGTGTACTGTGTGTGAGAGAGTGTGCCTGTGCCTGTGTGTGTGTGTGTGTGTGTGTGTGTTTTAATGAAGTGTTGCCTTGAATGAATCACTGGGAAGCCAGCCATGGTAAGGGCTGGTGAGGTTGGGGAGAAAGGAAGAGCTTTATGTTTCTCTGTTGTTTGGACCCTACTTGGCATGAAAAAGGAAGCTCAGTTCCAGCCCCTTGGATCAACGAAAATCAGAGGATTCTGGAAAGGCAGCCAACTTGCCCCTCTTAGAAGGATCAGAGGCAAGATGAGATGGCAGCCTGCAGAGTAAATGCTTGAAAAAAAAGGGGGTGATTTTCAATGGTTTGCTTAAGTCACTGTTTTCTAGACACCAAAATAGCTGTTTTGAAACTGTTTTAATTGCTTGGGTAGCAATGTGCACTTTAAACAATTTGGATATTGGAATGCAGTATCATACTGAGTGATTTGAGTAGAACCACTGATGATGATTTTATAAATTGTGTGAAGCGAATTTCACATTTGGCAATCATTTACTGATTTGCAGTGATCAATATTTTTATGAGAATTTAAACTTACCAAGAATGGCCATGGAGGCAAAGCCTTCACCCAGACCCATCCCACTCTCCTGTGATCCAGGTGGTCCAGAAGCCCAGGACAGGCGCTTTCTGTGGGCCCTGGCCACAGACAGGGTTACCTGGTGAGGTGCAGAGAGTCCCTCTAGTGGCCATTTCGCATGGTAGTTGCTAATGCAGAACAAGTTCTGTCTTGGGCTTAAATTGACTGAAGACTTTAGGGGAAAAGAACATTAAATGCATGTAAACAAATGGGGGTACTCTGTCCAGGAGAATAATCCGACTGGCATTTGTGGCAGTTTTTGAAATGTAAATGTATTCATGTGTGTTCTTGTAAATACATGTCTCTCAGATGTCCTTTGAAGTGGGAGGGAATCAATCCGGGGATAATTTCAAATGGAATAGAGTATTTTGATATTGTTCATTCAGAGGGTGATGTGTACATATCTATATTGTATATATGTGATGAAAATGCATTGGCTTTTTGTGCAGATACAACCTGCTCTCTGTACTGCTGTTGGACAGTGTTTTAATGTTTCTACAGTTTTGCTATTGCACGATTTCATATTTTGCCTCTATGATGAACGGCAACCATTCTTTGTAACTGTTTAGTGCTGTAAAGAAATATTCCAAGTGTCATTAGGATTGTTGCTGCCAGAACTGATATGCATGAATGGCACTTAAAATAAATATGTTAACTCTATTTACAACACTGATTGGTCTCCGTCGTTTGCTGTAATTGAAGAAGTGAAAATGGAGCTAGTCCAGGTGCAGAAACCCCACAGCCAGGACCCCAGAGTCCTTGGGGTCACTGAGATTGTATCCCTTGCATTACTACCTGAGAACAGTAATTGCTGCCATTTAGTGAGCATCTCATTAGCTCCATGAACTTGGGGAAGTCACTGGATTTCCCTGGGCCTCATTTTCCTTATTTGCAGTGCCAGTACAATGAGGATAGTATCTGCCTCCCAGAGTTGTAGTGGGATTTACATAAATTAGTACATTTAAACATTTAGAACAGCACATGCGACATAAAGCATACTGGTACTCAGTATGTGCCAGGTGCTGTGCTAAGTAGATATTGTGGTCCTCCTTTTACAAACATGGGAACAGCTCAGATAGAGGTATAGAAACTTGTCTAGATTATTTAGTTGGCAGGTGACAGAGCGGAGGTTTGAATCCAGGTCATTTGATTCCAGGCATCATGTTTTTTACACAATCCTCTCATACTCTGTGAGGGAATTCCCCTCTCCCTACCCCCTGCCCTTGCCCCCTGTCTTGTCCCCAGCACTGCCTTTCCAGAGCTATTTCCAAAAGGTGAAAGTGGGGCTTTACATTTGCTGAGCACATACTCTGTGTCAAACCCTCTCATGAGAAATCCAGAGATGAGGAAGCCACAGTTCCTGCCTTTACGGGGTACAGACTTGCCCAGGACAGGTAGCAAATGCCAGCCCAGGGAGGCTATTCTGAAGGTATGCTCTGGTAAGGCAAGATTCTGGTGGGGAGGAATGAGGTCATACTGAGGATTGGGGCAGTGGTTTAGGAAGGGCTCCAGGTATGGGCTGCTAAGTTGAGTCTTCAAAGGGTCCCAGACAGATGGGAGGAAGTATTGCCATTTATACCATCACCTTGAGCAAGCCATGGGAGCTCCCTTACCGTGGGGGTTGTGGGTTGAGGCGGGAGAAGTGCTGGGCTGCTGGTCAAGAGCTGAGCATAGCAATTCTGTGAGAAATGCTGTCCCCACTTCACTGATGTGGAAACAGGCCCGGACAGGCCAAGCAACGGGCAGACCAGCCATGTGGCTGGAAGTGAAATTAACCTGGAGTCCCTCCCACTCTAGAAGGGGGACCTTTTCATCAATCCCAAGATCTACCCAAAGCCTCAGGCTGCTTCTAACTTAACCCACACAGTGCTACCAGAAACATCTATAGCAGTTTCACAGATAGGGAAACAAGGCCCAGAAAAGTTAACCTGCCCAAATTCTCACAGCTAATAGAGGAGCTGGAATAATTCAGTCCAGGCCTAACTCCGGAGTTCATTTCCTTTTACTTCACTGCTGTCTAAAAAAGAATTTTCCCAAAGCCAAGAATAGTGACTGTCCTCTGTGTGTGTGTCCATGTGTCTGTCTGTGTGCCTTGGAAGGAAAGCTGTGCTTCACTCCCATCACAGGTAAGCATTTGTCATTCGCGGTGCCTCTGAAGGACCGTAGTAAGGGGACCACTAAATGTGGTCACTTCTGCTGATTTAGATGCAGCTGAAGTACACTTCTGCTGATCAAATGAGAAATAAGGCGATTAAGATGCATGCATGATTCTCAAGGTTTTAAGATATTACAGTGTGCAAAGGGCTGCTGTTTATAGACGTGACCCTTATCAGTTGGGTAAAGGAGTCCTGGAAAAACCATGTAAGCATCAGTTAACATTCATTGAAGGCTTCATCGCTTCTTGGCCTTTTGGCTAAGATCAAATGCATTGAAGGTTTGACTGCATTAAATGCCCTAGAATTACAGCACTATCCTAAAAACTTAGGAAGAGGCCTTAGAAATCAACTAACACAACCCCCCCACATTTTGTTGTTGGAGAACATTGAGACCCAGAGAGGGAAGGGTGTGCTCACGTTTCACACAGCTAGTTAGGGAAAATTTGGGGGAAGAGAATGAAGAAAGTCATTTGCCTGGCAGCGATTTAAAATTCCTACACATATTGTCTTATTTGATCTACACAATAGCCTGATGATGATGTAGTACTCTTACTGCCCTCATTTTACAGAAGAGGAAACAGCTTTGGAGAGGTGAGACACAACGAATAATGTGATGGTGGAGTATCCAACTCTGATGGACATGTGCCCCTGAGTGTGAGATGGAAGATTCAAATCTGAGTCTGTAACTGGTATTTGCTTTCATGTACCTTCTGCGTGAGCATCTCATTACTGAGTTGATTCCAGTGGATAAAGATACACGTGTTTAGTGCAGCATTGTCCTGGGTTCAAGCTAGCGGCTTCATCTGATGCTCAAAGACAGACTTCAACCAAGAACTAGAAAAGCTGGCCAGGTAGGTTGGGCTTATTGAGACATGTTTATCCACGAAAGTGCTGCCTTCCCAAAGGAGTTTAAAGAGTGATTTTTGAACTTAACCTCCTTGGATTCTTCCCTTAATATATGTGACTAGCCAACATGTGCAAAGCAGAGACTTGGTAATTGACTGCGTCAGAACCAGAATTCAACCCTAGGTCAGGGCTTCAGCCCCCAGCTCTTCTGCAGTGCCCCCTAAACAATGCTGACCTCAGAAGTACAGAATTGGACAGCTACTCTTTATTAAAAGTTCCTGTTACTTAATATTACTTATTCTAAGCACTTGATGTGGATTATTAGATTTACTCTTTGAAATAACTGTGTGTGGTAGATACTGTTATTATCAACTTCATCTTGCAGAGCCACAGAAATGAAGTCCCTTGCCCAAGGTCATTCAGCTTGTAAGTGGTAGAGGTAATAATAGTAATAACAACAGTAAAGCTGGGGTTTTGAACCTAGGCCATCCAGCTCCAGTGTCTGCGCCATTCACCACCGCACTGTGCTGTCTCAGGCCCTGTTCCCAGAACGACCAGGCAGAGAATGAGGGCCTTAGAACAAAGCCAAAGCTATTTTGCAATGAGGCTGCAGTGAGTGCCTGTGGCCACTAGAGGGTGGGGCTGCCGGCTGTGCACCTTTCCTCTTTTGGAAGGTTTCTTTTACCCTTACTTAGAGCTGTGCTCCCTTTCTCTGCAGCCCCCAGAGCTGGGTGCTCCTAAAGAAAGGTAGGGATTCCACTAGCCAGCCCTTAGAATCTGTGCCCCTCCTCTCCTGTGTCAGAGCTTGCTGGAGGAAGCCAAGGAGACTCTCTAGTTCTCAGCCACATACTGCTGGGGCCCACTCTAGAGCTGCCTCTGAAGCCTGCTGCCTTCCCAGCCCCCTGGTGCCTACGGCTCCCCTGCTCCAGGGCTCAGGAGGGAGAAGGTGCCCACTGTCAACCCCACACTGAGGCTCCTCAGGCTCTGCCCCTTCCTCTTCCGGGGCCAGCTAATGCTGGGGGCTGGCATGGTTTCTGCAAGCATAGGGAGGCCTGTGGTCCAGCCAGCCATGCTCCCTGCCACTGGGCAGCTACCCTTGCCCACCCACCAGCCCTGCCTCTGAGCTGAAGCAGGCCTCATCTCCACTTGTACACCAACTCCTGCGGCTGTCACAAACACGATGGTTATTGCCACATTTGCCAGGTCCCTGCCTGGCACTGGACAGCCATTATCTGAGTGAACATGCCCAGGTGCCTTGTGAGGTTGGTGTCATTATCTTTTATGACTGGACATTGCCAACTCAGAGAGGTGAAGTGATTTGCCCAAGGTCAAAGCCAGCGAGCGAGGCTGGCAAGAGGGCAGGAACCCACATCTGCCCCAGGTGCGCCTGCTCTTCTCGAGGGCACGCTGTCTCTTCCATAGCACCGGCTGCCCTGACCACCCTCTGGTCACCCTACCCCAGAGGCAAGCCTGAACTGACCTCACGGTGGACGGATGGCACCACTCTCACCCCACAGCCCCCAGAAGTCAGAGAGGCAACTTCCTGTCCCAGACAATGGCAATAAAGACGTCCAAGGACGCTTCCTAACCATCCCATGCCTGAGTGACGTTCACAGGCAGAGCCCTTCCTGGAACAGCCCTCTGTTTCCGTGTGACTGTGTGTGTGTGAGCATATGTGAGCAAGGCCTTGTGTGTGTGTGCTCGTGTGCTTGTGTGACCATGTGTCTGTGGCTGAGCATGTGATACATTGTAGCCCTTGTGATAGTGACTGGGACTTTGTGTATCTGTGTGTGCCCATAAAGGAGACAGGAGACAGGAAGATGGCTCCTCACTCAAATTTGATGACTTGATAGCCACTCACTCCTCCCACTAGGATAGGGGAACTTGCAGGAGGAGGGAGACGCTTGCCTGGAGTGGAGCTGGGTTCACAGGCACTGTCAGGGTTACACCTGTGGGTCTGATACACATTTTCTTATCACATCCCTGGCTTGTCCTTGTGGCTTTGAAGACTCCTCCCTCCTTTATCCCTTTGAGCTAGATCCCAGATCTGTACCTGCTCCTGCCCCCAGGCAGCCCCTCCCCTGCTGCCCTAAGGCTTTTATACCAAAAGTTGCTCCAGAAAGAGCAGCTCAGCCTGCATGTTCCCTGCAGGCCCCATAGGCCAGCAAAATACTTGAGGCAACGGAAAGAATTCAGAGTTTGGAGTCAGAAGAACCTAGAATTCTGTTTGGGTAAGACGTTGCCCTCTCTGAGCCTCAGTTTGCTCATCTGTAAAATGGGGATGCTATACCTTACCTCAACGTGTTACTGAGATCATCAGTGAGGAGTCAGATGGCAAGCTGTCCTGGCACATATTAGGTCCCAAGGGCAGTCTTCCCTTCTCTGTCTCCCTCCCTCTCCTCCATCTGTTGCCAAGTTGCCAAGACCAGTTATTTTCCTGCCATTTTATGCTTCCAATGCACCCCCTGCCCTTCTGGGGCACTGCCAGGGGTGGAACACGACCTTCTCTTCTGGACCCATGCAGCAGCCATCGCTAGACAGTCCACTTTCAACGCCAAGTGCCAGGGTGCTCCTTCTGAATCACGACTCTTACCAAGGCCTCCCCTACTCTGAAACCTCCTATAGCTCCCCGCTGTCAGCAGGTGAAGGGCAGAACTCCTCAGCCCG